TTCCTGGATAACCCCCAACTCATCCACCTCTGGTGAAGCTTAACTGTTCCTACTTTCAGCAAACTCCTCTAATATGCCCCTCCCACTGGGTGGCTTCTTCTACCTTTCTCACAGAAGCTAACAGCTGTCTGCTTCACTGTTAAATTCTCTGAAGGCAAGGGACCCAGGGAAGGGAGATGGCAGAGCCAAAAGATTCTGTGTGCCTCTTGCATGGTTTATGGGCTTTATAAACCATGCCAATCAGTAAAGATGATCAGTTGAGAGTTAGAAGATTCTCATAAGCCCACAAAGTAAAACTACACCTGGGCTCCATCTGTCCTAAAGCTAATGGGGATATAATCCCATATATTTTTTGACAGTAACTCTGGCTACTTGTCACCAAGTCAAATTCTACTCAATGGCAACAATAGAGCAAGGCAGACCTGCAAGTCCTCATGGGGACAGAAGGCCTCGTTTTCCTTCCATAGTTGCTGGTGCTTCCTAATTTCTGGTATCATGGTTATCAGCCCAATGTGTAACGCACTAAACCACCATGGCTCATTGTCTATGTTTAAAGCGACAGGCATCCTAATTTATAGGATGTGTTTTGTTTTGTTTTAGTATTGGGGGGATAATAACTTTGTATCAGATGTGAACATAGATAAAATTATAACAAACCCTTTTAAAGTCTTATTTATATAAAGAGTTAGATAGATAGATACATACATATATACATACATACATACATACAGATATACACACACATTTATAGAAAATGCCCACCATATTCTGATGGGCTCCAAGTTAAGGATATCATCCTTTTTATAAGTCCAATATTAGTGCATTTCTGTAGAAATGTTTTGGTTTAATGTCTTCTTAGCGGGTCCACAAAATAAAAGCTAATCTGTAGATGACAATATTTGGTATGGCCATGGTTACATCATAGTAAAATATATACATATATTTTTTGAATGATTTAAGTGTGAAGTTCAAAAACCTAGCAAAACCAAAGGCACCCAAAGTCAGAAGTGTTAGACGAATGAAGAGATTTTAAAACACAATGTTGAAAATTTTTAGCTCACTGATGTTTCTGTAGAAAATATCAAAATGTCGCATATTGTGGTGAAAAATTTGAAGATCTAAAACTATAAATCACAAACCACATAATATATATAGGCTCTAGTCTTCAATCAACAGGACTTCCAAACTTTGGGCAAAGGCAAAAATGAGCAGATTCAGATTCTAAGAAGTCTTGATATGGTAACTAATCTCTGCCCCTCTGATTCTCTTCAGGTACAAATGGTAGGTGATAACACTTGATCATTGGTAAAACCCCAAATCAAAAACACTGTGATTTGGTGATGAAACCACCAGTTCTCCTCGAGAGAAAGAAGAGAGACCCATAAAAAGTTAAAGTCTAGACTACCCACAAAGGCAGTTCCATTCTTTCCTATAGGCCTTCTTTGAATTATCATGGGCTAAATCAATGACACTATAAACAGAAGGACAGAAGCTCCAGGGGGCTGATTGACAAAATCCTCTACCATGAAATGACAATGATGTCGTTTAGACAGATGATAGAAAATATAGATTTAGGAATGGATTTGGGGGGCACACAATCCTATTTGAATAATTTGAATAAATCCTATAAGAATAATTAGTTCTTATGACATGGCTTTGCTGGATGCTCATTCTCATGAAGGAAACACGGACGATATGGGTGCTATAGGAAAGTATGATGAAAAGCTAGATGATGCCTGGCTACCAGAAAGAATAGCATCAGGGTTCTTAAAGGCAAGTTTTCAAATAAGCAGCCATCTAAGTTAGACATCAAATAAACGCACATGAAAGAAGCACACCAACATCTGTAATCCAAGCATCATAAATTATATAACCCAAATTTGAAGGAGGGAATGGTATCATACCTTAAATTGCGAGATTCTCATTTGCAAAACAGTATGTATGACAGTGGAAGCTAAGGTAGTTAGTTTATTGTGCCAACCTGGCCGATAAACACATGTGGGGTTAATTGAAAGGCGGAGGGATAAATGGGTGGTGAGCCTTGCCTTTCTAGTTCTCAGGTCTCTTGCTTTGTGATGGTCTAAGCAGGGTGCAGCTGCCTTAGAGTTCCCTGCTTCAGCTTGTACAGCTGACTTCCTGCAAGACATCCACAAGGAGAAGCCACATGGA